CTTTTTGTCTAGATTCTCTCTCTGAAATATTCAACGTCAAGGATTATCCACATATTTCACTTACACTTGCTACTTTCTCTAAAATGTTTTCAGGTGAGTTCACTCACACATTGTTTGTCTATGTAACAATGTACTTTATCGGTGTTTGAATCCCGTATGAATTTCTTTGGTAAGGTTTGCCTGCAACTCCATGATGATTCTGATATCTAGTTACTTTGTGGATCTGTTTAAACACTATGAAGCCCGGGAAGGGACAGGGTGGAAATTTTTTTTGGCGTTTGCTAATTCGTTCGCACGAATTACTAATTCGTTCGCACGAAATCCTAATTCGTTCCCACGAAATCCTAATTCGTTCGCACGAATTATTAATTCGTTCCCACGAATTACTAATTCGTTCCCACGAATTGCTAATTCGTTCCCACGAAATCCTAATTCGTTCGCACGAATTGCTAATTCGTTCGCACGAATTACTAATTCGTTCGCACGAAATCCTAATTCGTTCCCACGAAATCCTAATTCGTTCGCACGAAATCCTAATTCGTTCGCACGAATTACTAATTCGTTCGCACGAATTACTAATTCGTTCGCACGAATTACTATTTCGTTCGCACGAATTACTAATTCGTTCGCACGAAATCCTAATTCGTTCGCACGAAATCCTAATTCGTTCGCACGAAATCCTAATTCGTTCCCACGAATTACTAATGCGTTCCCACGAATTACTAATTCGTTCCCACGAATTACTAATTCGTTCCCACGAATTACTAATTCGTTCCCACGAAATCCTAATTCGTTCCCACGAAATCCTAATTCGTTCGCACAAAATCCTAATTCGTTCGCACGAATTACTAATTCGTTCGCACGAATTACTAATTCGTTCGCACGAATTACTAATTCGTTCCCACGAATTACCAACTTGTTCCCACGAATTACTGGCACGGCACGTTCCCGGATCCATGAGATATAGATGTATGGGGGACCCCCGTGCACCCCAAGAACTTAACTTTCACCAATATTTGGGGTGCCTTTTAGGGTCCTAAAACACATGGATGTTAACAGTAAAACAAATCCGATGAGAAGGAGATATCCAAGATGGCGGCCAATATGGCCGCCAAAGTTGGTAAAAACTGGGGAGAAAAAAAAGATATATATCAGCCAAATCATGTGATAAAAGTATAAATAAAATGGTTAATTATATGTTTTAGACTCTCAAAAACTGATTTCTGGTAGTGTTTTCCTATAATGCTTCAAATTAAAGATGGCGGCCAATTTGGTAGCTAATAAGGCCGCCATATTGGTAAAAATGAAACAAAAATCAGCCTAATAATATGATAAAATCACAAGTGAAATTGTTAGTTATATGTTTTGTACCCTCCCAAATTCATTTCTGGTATCGTGTTTTTGATATCATGCTTCAAATGCATGATAGCGGCCAATATGGCCGCCAAAATGGAAAAAACAATTGAAAAAAAAAATCATATATAGGTTTTCCCTAGTTTCATTATCATTCAATTTCGCGTGAGTTTTGCACATTATGATCAAATTTCTTTTTAATTTGGGGGGCATTAGCAGCCAAGATTTGGGGGGTGCCTTTTAGACCATATTTGCGCCCATCCTGGCCGCCATCTCGAATTCGAAGCGTGAAAGCAAAAAAAAACAGGATACCCGAAATAAAATCTGTGAGAGTCAAAAACATAATAAATTAACAATTGTATTGATGCTTTTATCACACTATTTGGCTTATGTAGGTTTTCCCGGCCAACTTCACCAATTTTTCATTCAATTTAACGCCTGGCTCGTTCAGTTTGATTTGAAATTGAAAAATCACGCAGATCGTCATTCGACAATCAAAAAGAATCATTCGATTTCACTATCCAAGCAATCTATCGCCTTTCAGCTTCACTCATCCCTGTAAAAGCTGCATTAAAAGTATTGCGTTGTTCAATCAGTTTGGTCTGAACCAGTAGTAAGTTGTTGATCGGGCATTCCTTTTCATTAATGGGCAAACTTATTTCACTTTTTGTCAAGATGTTTTAAGACTTCCTGCATGTAAAATTCTGAATTATCTCGGCGTAAATCATATCTGATGTCGTCAATCCGTAAATGGACACCTCTCTTTCTTAATTAAAGGGTCCGTGAATGATTTTTTTCCTCATGAATACATTTTGTGCAACTTACTACTACTCTAAAATGTATGAAAGATATTTTGACATCCTTTTTTTGGTTAGTCTTATTGCAAGTGCACGTCATTAACATTTAAAAGTTCCATGCTTTTCAGTTGCTGTGATGTGATTTCAGGAAGACACTGTTCAGTTTAGCGGGTTTCTTTCAAATTATTCACCCAAAATTTGCTAAGAAAACACTTTTGAGAAAGGATTGCTCATTGGCTTACTGCCAAGTACTGACACAACAAAGAATCACCAAAGAAAAGAAATCGTAGCAACTTTATTTTGTGCTGAAATAGCCCAGTAACATTAATCTTCACAAAATGACATCAAAATCTTGTTGATGCGTGAATATGGAACTTTGCATCATCATAAAAAAGGAGAAAGCACCAAAAACACCCTTCAAAATGGAAAAAAAAACATTGAGAATAAGGTTAAAATGTGACACAAAGATGTGTTTTCCAGGTTTGCATTGAACAATTTCTTTGCATGGGCGCTTTAATTAAGTGTTCGGTCAGACATACGCAAGAAAACATTTAAGAAATTACCCAAGAGAAGGGTTCCTCATCGTACAACCATTGCCATATTGTAAATTTTACAGTCGCTAAGATGTTTTGGGGAAACTCAACCTCGGAGGAAACTGGGAAAATATATCACTTAAAAAAATCTTGTTAATTTGAATGACCTCATAATGAAAGTGATTGCCCATAAACGAATAAGAAACGAAAACATGGTACATGTAATACGTTATAAGCGCACCGACGTTTGCTAATTTGAATGCGTCAACCGTCAAAAGGTTGACATTCAGTCAAAAATCTTGGCTGGTAATGCCCCCCAAATTAAAAAGAAATTTGATTATAATGTGCAAAACTCACGCGAAATTGAATGGCTGATAATGAAACTAGGGGAAACCTATATATGATTTTTTTTTCAATTTATTTTCCCATTTTGGCGGCCATATTGGCCGCTATCATGCATTGAAGCATGATATCAAAAACACGATACCAGAAATGAATTTGGGAGGGTAAAAAAAATATAACTAACAATTTCACTTGTGATTTTATCATGTTATTAGGCTGATTTTTTTTTCATTTTTACCAATATGGCGGCCTTATTAGCTACCAAATTGGCCGCCATCTTTAATTTGAAGCATTGTAGGGGAAAAAATACCAGAAATGAGTCTTTGAGAGTCTAAAACATATAATTAACCATTTTATTTATGCTTTTATCACATTATTTGGCTGATATATGTCTCCCCCCCCCCCCCAGTTTTTACCAACTTTGGCGGCCATATTGGCCGCCACCGTGAATATCCCCTTCTCATCGGATTTGTTTTACTATTAACATCCAAAATGTGTTTTAGGACGCTGAAAGGCACCCCAAAAATTGGTGAAAGTTAGTTCTGGGGGTGCATGGGGGTCCCCCATACATCTATATATCTCATGGATCCGGGAACGTGCCGTGCCAGTAATTCGTGGGAACAAGTTGGTAATTCGTGCGAACGAATTAGTAATTCGTGCGAACGAATTAGGATTTCGTGGGAACGAATTAGGATTTCGTGGGAACGAATTAGTAATTCGTGCGAACGAATTAGGATTTCGTGCGAACGAATTAGTAATTCGTGCGAACGAATTAGTAATTCGTGCGAACGAATTAGGATTTCGTGGGAACGAATTAGGATTTCGTGGGAACGAATTAGTAATTCGTGCGAACGAATAAGGATTTCGTGCGAACGAATTAGTAATTCGTGCGAACGAATTAGTAATTCGTGCGAACGAATTAGGATTTCGTGCGAACGAATTAGTAATTCGTGCGAACGAATTAGTATTTCGTGCGAACGAATTAGGATTTCGTGGGAACGAATTAGGATTTCGTGGGAACGAATTAGTAATTCGTGGGAACGAATTAGGATTTCGTGGGAACGAATTATTAATTCGTGGGAACGAATTAGGATTTCGTGGGAACGAATTAGGATTTCGTGGGAACGAATTAGTAATTCGTGGGAACGAATTAGTAATTCGTGCGAACGAATTAGGAATTCGTGGGAACGAATTAGTAATTCGTGCGAACGAATTAGCAATTCGTGCGAACGAATTAGCAATTCGTGCGAACGAAATAGTAATTCGTGCGAACGAATTAGTAATTCGTGCGAACGAATTAGCAAATGCCCAAAAAAATTTCCACCCTGTCCCTTCCCGGGCTTCATAAAACACAGGTTTTGAGGGTTGTATGTTTTGCCCTGTGCAGTGAACACACATTAATTCTTGGCCTTTGACAATGTTTGAGGAAACCAATGTGCTGTGTGTTCAGTTAACAAGGGTTTCGGTTTTTGGTAAATATTTCAAAGTATTCATCAATGTATCCGAATTTCTGTCTTCATTAAATTAACCTCATTTTACATCTCAAATATGTGCCACGCTGAAATAAAAACTTGTTGCAAATATTAATCTGTCAGTGGCAATTCAAATATTTCACGATCATAAACATCCATATTTTTTATAAACATGTAGAATCTGTGAGTAATGTTATTCATGTTACATTCATTACGACCTTCTGTGGTTCACTTTTTGTTTCACTGGCCATCCCATAGCAACAAAACAAAATTAATTTCTTTATCAATTCAATATGACAAAATCTCTTACCTAAAGTTGTTAGATGTAACTTCTTCACAAACAAAAAGCAAAAAGCAACAGTTCAAGAACAGGAGCTTATTCCATCTTCATATTATGTTATACTTTGTTTAGGATACCAATTGCAAAAAAAAACATTTTTAATCAAAACAAAAACATGTACATGTAGGTGCATTTTCCATCAAGTATTCTTTAGTTTAGGTAGTTTAAGACACCAGCTCTTCAGTCATTGACAAGTCTCCGTACTTCGCCACACAATTAAAGTCTACTGTTATGGTTGGCACAGCTGTCCCATGAACAGAACTGCTCCGGATTTATTGTCATATATAAACAACAAGAATGGATGATCTGCCATGAATTTAAGAGGTCCAAAATCGCTAGACTGGATCACAAGCCAAGAAGTAGCTGCTGCTGCCTCACTGCCTTCTTCGTTGACCTTTAAGAATGCCTTGTGGATCACTTTGGATATGAAGACATCTTTGTCTCCTGTCATCCCTGAGAAGTCAGCCTTGGCAACATCAAATGGATCATTCATACCCATCTTCCTCAAGACATCATTTAAGACGAAGTCCTGCTCCAGGTTAAACCTTGGAAGATACACCATGACAGTAGGGCTGTCACGCATACGAGCTTCTGTCACCCAGGAGTCAATTTTCTCTTGACTCAACTTCTTCTGCACATCAGCCAGCCCATCCACTTGATCAGGTAACACAATGAACATGCTCACTTCATTCTTGAGGTAAGGTAGCTCCAGGATAGAACTGCTCATGGAATCGTCACGAGCGTAGTTGAACTTGTCTGTCTTGCGCATCATGGTAATCTTCTCGTACCCACCGACAGTACGGAACGTCCCATTAAAATTTGTGTCCTGATATCTAAATTTGTCAGCCCAATCTCCTTTGAAGTAGATAGTATTGACCAGCACCAAGCGAGTCATAGCATTGATAGATCCTGCAGCAAGTAAGTCTTTGATGCGGTTTGCAGTTTGCTTCTCCACCCAGGAGTTGATGTGTTGACGAGAACCTTCCCCATCACCAATGAAATCAAGAATTTCCATACCGGCTCCGTAGTATTTCTTGCTGTCATCAACAAATGTGGCAAGGACATCCAAACCCTTCGGACCAAACAATCTGTTGGCAGCTACCAGGGTGCAAGGAATTGCAGCACGGAAAAAATCATCATCATCCAGGTCAGCAAGAGCAGATGTGTCTGAGCTGTTGGAGGGAGGAACTTGACTCATCTCACTTGCTGTCTCACCATGGGGAGCATCATCACTGAAAATCAGAGCACTCAGGTCGGCAAATGACTGATGGAGGACGGATTCTTCCAAGACGTTGAAGTGAAGTACTTGACTCATCTGGCTTGCTGTCTCACCACGTGCCCCCATAAAGGTCATAGCAAGTGCAGTGGAGATGCTAAGAGGAGAAAAGAAGATGTTGTTGTTGGAGCCTCCTCCCTCAGTCAACACTCGGAAGATATAAGATGCAAAGGTGTTACTAGCCTTGACAGCATTTTGAGCCAGACCGACATCTGACACCTGGGTGGCCATGGGATCAGTAGATTGAGCTGGAAATGAGAATTGGAAATTGGAGAAGCCCTTTATATCTCGTCCGTCGATAATGTGAGTTTATCATAAGATGTAAATTGGACATGACGATGCAACGGTGAATAAATGTTTCCATTAAAAATGAAATGCCTGCAAACAATTGCAGTTGATCACTTTAACCATGGGGTCATTGATCGATGGTTCAACCAAACGCTTCCTTGCACTCTCTTTGTTTTATTCAAAACCAAAACAATTAAAAATGTCTTCGTCAACCTAATATATTAAGCTACAAACAATATTTTTTTTAAGAATAAAATAGGATTAGCAGCATCCACTACTTGGGGCAGACAAACCTCATTTAACATCCTGGAACTGTTTTCGGGAGAGGGACAGTAGAAGGAAGCGCATTTTCTGACACAGAAAGCTAAAGTCATGGTCAAATTACTATTATTAGAACTTTGCAACAACGATTTCCGGTTTCATTTCCGAGTTTCCTGATATAAATGCGAACAAACACAGAATGATGTCCCGTGACATGGCGCGGCCCCTGAACGTGGCACACTTTGCTTTTTCGCATCAATCGCCTTGCTAGAGTAAACGTTTTACCTGGAATTTCACAGTAAGTGAAATTTCATCAGGCTCTAAACATTCCCGTTAATAAAATCTTGAATTTACCTTTACGCATATTACAAAGTTAAGGGAATATGCAACATTTGCTTTTGCTGCAATTTTCAGAAATAAATGGATTTGTGTGGATCCGCTGATGTGGTAGTGATATCTTGCGATTCGTGCGCACCTCTATCAAATAATCTGATCAGCAACTCCTGGGATTTGAATTTCGGGGTTTGGGCAATTCTCTCTTATAAACTGGCTATCAGGAACCCGGCTCCAGTAGAACTATATACTATTATCATTAATGCACACCCTAAATTTAAGGTTACATGCATGTAAATCAAAAAAGCAAGGTCGCATTGGATATAGTATTGGGATACTGCATTGCTCTCCTGTAAATACACGTTCAAGTTCAACACTAAATTGGCCGGAAAGACAAGCATTGGAATAATATTATCAGATCACCACATCGACAAATACCACGACACAAATATTGGCATAAACAACGACAAAAACAAAATGGGAAAGTTTTTATAAACTTACCAATATAATAATCTGAAAAGTTCCGCCTGGGCACAGCAACACAAGACGATAGTTGAAGCGGAACTGCGCAGAAAAAAAACACTCAAGCGGAAATTTGGAATCGCCCGATAAGGCCGATCAAGTAAATAAACGGAATCAGCATGTCGGTATGTCGGTAATAGCGCCACCATATACGGTGAATCTTCCTGATAATAGTAGAGGGCGCTCTGCAGTTCTGCTTTAGGTATTGAGGTACACCCCATCATAAAAAGAAACCTCATAGATCCAAGTGACACATGCACATCCTACCATATTCTTTTAACATTAAAAGGGCCGGGTTATTTGACTATCTCTCAGCCGGGTGCAGGGCTCGTGGTCTAATTAGTAAACGTACCGAAATTCGTGGGAAAAGGACAAGGGAATATTGGGTAAGAGTATGTGGTGTGCAATAACCACGATCGCCTGAATTATACATTAATAAGTATCAACCTTTTTTGGCAGGCTTCCAGATTTGTCGATAGCGAGACCCACGCGAATTCACGCCGAGTTACGCTAATGAATATGCTTACAATACCCGTGCATTTCAAAGCGTGTGTATATATATATATATACTTCTCGAGGTCAAACAAGGTTATTTCGGTCAATCGCAACCTTGTCCCCAGGGTTTATAGCAGGACGCGCCCATCACTACCTGCTCTCTCACCCTGGTATTGGATCATTTGCACGTGCAAGATTTTTGAACACGTATGCAAATGATGAATAGTCTGGTGCCCGCCTGTGCGTTACATTTGCGTTTGTTTTTTGTATGCAGTGTCTGGGGTAAAAACAGAACCAATTCGTCGCAGCGCGAGCATGGCGTGAGTTACGAAAACACGATATTATTTTGATTAAACAGTGTTAACGAGACAACATGTAGTATCACTGTTCATATCAATATTAACAAATTGGAAAGGAAATGAATATTTTCGAGAAGGCGTTGACGAATGATCGCGTAAACACGTACTGCACGTTGTAAATAACAACACCAAGTACACGATATCACTCCATTTCTAGCCAATTGCGGTATCGAATCAGGATACAGGAAGAAAGTTTCCTATCCTGGGCTTACTATTGGAAACGAGTTGGAAATAAAGTAAGCACTGGGGACGAGGTTGGTCAATTCTTGGTAACCGGAAGTCTGTTCACGTGTAGACTGGTTCCCTGACCCTCCAATGTCCTTCGGACTTCAAATTACGGAACAGATAACTAGCAGTGAATCTTGAATATGTTATGAGGCTTTCCTCCTAATGTATGCAAATGATATGCAGGACGTGCATAGGTCTGAATCCCGGCTCCTTAATTCAAAATCACGACGGTAATGTTTCCGTGGAACCAGCCTATTGCAAATTGCAATATACAATGTAGGCCACTTTCGGAGGTGATGAGCTTCGACTTTCGCTGAATTTGAAAGTGTCTCTAGCAACTATCAATAAAGATTGGGGCATTAATTAATTTTATGAGCATTTAAAACATGTGCAGTTGAAATACTTGAAAGTTGCCTTCATGGAGACACTGGCAAATCATCGTTCGCACATGCTGTATAACGTCATATTATGGCACACTGCGGTATTTTCGTAGGCCCCCACATTTTTCGTAGACCCCCAAATTTTTCGTAGGCCTTTAGGCACAGTGCCTACTGTGCCTTTTGGGTGATCCGGTCCTGATCGCGCTTTGTGCACTATTTTCCACAGCTGATGATGAGTTGCTAGGCCATTACTGACTGATGCCATTGCTTAAAATAAACAGAGCAGGCAATACGCTTTCGAAAGGTAACACACAAAGGTATACACAATAAGCGATTCACTTACAATTTCACAGTGAACTTGGGTCACTTTTTGTTGTTCAGAAGAAAGTTACTGACAATTTGGAATAACACTAACACACTTAAGAAATCGTCATTTTGTTCACTTTTGGAAATAACTTTTTCACCAAAGATAAATACACAGTTTGAAGCTTAGATACCCTGGCTACTCAAAAATTGGAAAATTCCAAAATCAATTTAGACATGATATTCCAGACAAGAGCAACTTCAGACGCCGATAACTAAAAACAAAGTTTTGAGGATATTCCTCATTTAGTCTCATCAGGCATCCAGCCTTATCAGCATCCAGAATCCAACCGGTTTTTAAACATAGTGTTTAACACCGGCCAAGCACATATTTATTCCCATTCATAAATACCTTTCTCGACAAATATAAACAAAACGTTTCGGTCCCAAATTAAAAACAAGTCACAAAATATAAATGTCCATTAATTTTGTTCCACAGTCTTACCTCATGTTTTTCGGGACACCCCTCTCGCTATGTTATGGTATGTCTAGTTTTGCGAGTACTGCAAACATATATTTCCTATACCGAGATTGGCGCGCATCTGTGCCGGTGTATTGTGAACTTAGGAATATGAAATACTGACTCACAGTAGTATTGCGCATGCCTACGTTAGGATTGTGAACGTTCAACCAATAAAACGGTAAAATGCCAAATTGTCAAAGTCCAAATTGCATGTGCCACTGGAAAAGTGTTTATGACCAGGCAGCCAGTCTTTATCAACCGTTTAAAACCGGCCACGAGTCGGGCTCTCGATCAGTAGGAATCGGTAAACTGTTTTAGGTAGGTTTATGAATGGGGAGTATGTGGCAGTTGGTAGCACTATAAGCATCCTGAGTATTAAACTACTTTTTAAAGAAAATTCGATCAATGATATGTAGGGATAGAATGAGAGGCGTGTTAAATTTGATACCACTTGTAACTACATAGACCAACTGATGTTAAATAACTGATGTTGTCCTTTACATGTATAGAAACCAAAAGGTGTTAAATTAACACCATAGTGTTTGCCGTGTATTGTTTGGTAGCAAGGCGTTGAAATAAATAGTTGAACACTACGTTGCGAGACCTAATCTCATTGTTGTCTAAATTACAGACTGTCCAATATGTCCGGAGGGCTGGCAGACGTTTGGTGAATACTGCTACAAGCTGAGCGCCGTCGGCACATACGAAGCAGTGGAGAAGGAATGCACCGAAATGGGAGCGTATATCGCGGCACCTCACAGTGACGAAGAACTTAAATTTATGCTCTCTATCCATGGGTACTTGTGGATCAACTGTAACGACCATGAAATAGAAGGTATGCGTGAAAATCGGTATACAAGAAATTTCAGTCTAGGGAGAAAGCCTGGGGCAAGTTCGCGCAAGAACTACTGTTACCATAGTTTGACTAAATAGCCCGAACTCTGTCTAGTCGACGACGGTTGGACAACGCTAGTCGGCTTGGAACCAGCCTGCTGGTCCTGGCTGTATCGTTGGTTACCAGAAGCCGCGCCGCCCGCGCGCATTCATAACTTGCAACAGGGATAGGACCCAGACGTTTTGCGATGACATTTTTGCAAGCGTTTGACTAGAGAGTTTGCACGTTATTAGTGGCAGGTGTACGTTACGTCACAAATCAACTTCTAGTCGTCTTTCGGTCCTTGCCCGAACTTGCTGTAGGTGTCCTCTATATACCTATCTCACTGACCGACTGCCTTACAGACGGATTTCAAGTAAGCATTGAAGCCGATGCTCTCAGTGCTAAGCCACTGTATGAATTGGGGACCTTTTTTTCAGTCTATTCAACAAAAGACAGCACTGAGGTCCTCGGTTTCTGTGCCTATTTGCATTTCCTCTTTTGTCAAAAGTGAGCCGAGCAGAATTACCCCGTAATGGCCGGTCAAATCCGGCCCATTGCCTAGACCAGATGAGAAAATATTCTAGAGAGTACATTCCAAAAAGTCCCGGGTCAGATTTGACCCGGAAAAGGGTCATGTGGGGCCTGACCCTTTTGCGGGTCAAAAATGAGACTTTTCCAGGTCAAAAATGATTCTTTCCGGGTCAAAATGACCCGGAAGATGAGTCACAAAGTGTAATTTTGACCCAGAAAAGTGTCATTTTGGACCCGGAAAAGGGTCAGGTCCCACATGACCCCTTTCCGGGTCAAATCTTACCTGGGACTTTTTGGAGTGTATAGCCGATGAATCAATGGAATAGAGTTTTGTGCGCTTTGGGACCAGCTTTATTAGGTTTGCCCGGTCTTGACACATCATAGATTTTTAGGTTCTCGGAAGCACGGGGCATTTAATTTCAATATTATGTTTTGCCCTCCACCGACGTATAAGCACTGTACTCAGTTTGTTCCCCCCTAGAGAAAATGAGAAAATATATTTACTATGTTGGGACTCGGGCCCTAGACCTCTTGCTTTCTAGTGCAGACGTCTTACAACTCGACCAACTAGCTTGAGGGATCCGTTAACTGGTTCGAATTTGATGTGTGATGATAACAAAATACACATCAATGAAGGATGTTTTATTATTTTATTGTAACATCCACTTTAAAGCTGCGACAATAAACACCAAAAACCATACGAATCAGGCCAGTCGCTAAGCTTTTCCCGAGGAGATGCCACATCAGTATTATTTAAGGTACGTCATTCAAAGTTGCCCGTTTTCCTCCAGATGAATTCCAGTGCTGCGATGG